CCTGTCCTATCCAGACAGGCCTGAGGAGACAACAACATAGCATTTCTTTTAGTTCAGACAAAGCAGATTTGAGTGGTTATCTTGTTATCTGTATGGACATTGTTGGCTTTCCCCCCCACAACTTAAATCATTTTTATAACGAGATTATCTACCAAAGTGGTATAAGACATGAGGGCGGAGAGCATGGCATGCTGGGAAACGAGACAGGACAACGGGCCACATTCTGAAGCATGGCAAAGCTGTGTCAGCCCGTGCTGACGGTGGTGATGTCTTTACAGATCCCACGTTAATTCTCTCACAGTCCTAGAGGCGAGAAATCCAAGCCAGGGCCCTGGCTGGGCCAGTCCCTTCCTTGTCCGCCACCTCGTCCAGGACCCGCAACTGCTGCTGTCTTCTCTGTGTGTCTGTTCTGCACCGTGGATAACGCGGGACGATCAGACTTACGACCCACCTGCAGTGGGATGAGCTCATTGACATAGTAAAAGAAAAACCCTCTTTCCAAACCGGTTCATACCAGGGGTACTTCTTGGGGAATGCCCGTTATCTTTCAGGGACGTTTTTCCATGAACTCATTGAAGTCCTCTCGTATTACTATCCCTAACAGATAGTGAGGGGCCGTCAGACGTCATTGAGCTGGTGGACCCAGATGATCTATGGTTTATCCCAATAACTGACCCATGTGAGGCACGAAGGGAAGGCAGGGGGTCCTGTGAGGGCCCTTCGGGATGCTCTAGATGTGCCTCAGGGAAGGCCCGCATGGTCTCTGTGAGGAGACACCCGAGATTCACAGCACGACGGGAGGGAGGGCTGCCTGGGAACTTGTTCTCTGAGAGCATTTCCCAAGACCCAAGGGTTCCCTGTGGAGTCTTGGTGGTCAGGGCTATGCCTGTGGGCAGTGTGCGGTAGCGGGGCTGAGGAAATCACATGGCCCCCACCATGCGAGAGTGACCCCTCACCCGCCGTGGGGTTGTTGGTCTCAGGAACTGTACCAGAGCACCGTTGGAATGTTCCAGAGGCTTGTGGAAGTCCTGTTCCTTCAGACGCTCCCAGGTGTGACCAGCCTCTCCCAGGCAGAGTGTGACTACTTGAGACAGGAGGTCCAGGAGAACACCACCCGGCACCTGGAGAAGTCGGACTGCTTCCGGAGACAGCAGTGGAAACTCTTCCAGGATGCCCAGGAGCAAGAGAAGAAGGTACGGCCAAAAAAAAAGAAGGTACGGCCATCGTGTGTGTGTGTGTGTGTGTGTGTGTGTGTGTGTGTGTGTGTCTGGAGCCCACAGTGGGGGCTGATGAGACTCTGAGAGAGAGATCACAAAGGGTTCCTTACTGAGCTTGGCCGACTGAGTCTGAAACTCATAGGAAAGGAGAGACCGCCAAGAGGGGCCAAGATCACGTAGAAGAGGAGATTCAGCGTGGCCCTGCCCTAGCAGTCTGGTGATAACCTGCAGGGATGACAGCCCCGTGTATTGGTGCAGACATGAGCAGGGACATAAAAGAACCAAATGGAGACCTGGAAGCAGAGCTGCGCTCTCGTTGGTCTGGCTCACTGGGATTTGGAGACTGCACGTTTATGGGATTGGGGTGGCTGATGTGTTTGAACTGCTGACCTTGAGGTTAGCAGTCCAGCACCTAACCCACAGGGCTGCCAGAGTCCTTGTGTGATATGGACACACAAAAAACCTGGCGTGACTCCTTGCTACCCTATAGGACAGGGTAGAACTGCCCAGTGGGTTTCCAAGACCCACTTTCTGGGCATAGACAGTCCCTTCTTTTTCCCTCTGAGTGCCTGGGGATTCCCACTGCTCAACTTGCACGTAGCACCCCAACAAGTCACCACGACACCCCAGGCCTCCTCTGTGCGGCCTATGGAAACTACAGAACACAGAGGTGGCTTCACCATCCACTAGTAAAATGACAAATAACTCAAACTGTGTTGGGACAATCAGTTATGTCGAGAAAATGGGATCCCTCCCCACACTCCGTAAAGTAGTATACAGTTACGTGCCCCGTGACCTACATGTGAACCCCCAAAAGACTCCAAAAAGGGTTAGTGCTTAAAAGGAACTATGGGAGAAAATGTTCATAAAACTAGGGTAGGAAAAAGAATTTGGAGAATCCTATCATGAAATCAGGACAAGAAAAACAATTTTTTTGACAAGACACAAAAGGACTCCATGTTTGCCGACACCGAGCCTTTGGTAAGGATGCTGGTGAATCCACAGACATGGATACAAGGGTGATGGTTGAAAGACATGAGGACCGTACGTTAATACTATGGAAAGTGTGTCCTTAGGAAGAATAGTGAAATGCCAAATGGTTTGCTATGTATGGTGACTACAATTAAAAAAATTTTTTTAAAAGAAACGAAAAGGAAAATCCAAATAATCAAATTTTGGAAAATCCAAAAAATTCCAGCAGCGGTTAGTAAAACGAGCTTCCAAGGACTGAGCGTGTGTGTTCTCTGCCCGTGGTGTTTAGCTGTGGATGGAGGAGCAGGCCTTGTCCGCCGTCCTACAGACGCACCTGCAGGAAGACCACCAGAGCATCATCCACGGGGTCCTGGGCCGGCTCGGCGGCCTCAGTGAGGAGTGAGTACAGACCCTGCCTGGGGCCCCATTCTGACCTCGGTGTCGGGATCCGCGGGCGTGGAACACCACCGTCCTTCCTCCCAGTGTGGTTTTGAGGCCCCAAGCAGACGTTCAGTACAGATGTGTCGAGTGGCAGTCGAATGCCATGGTTAAAAGCTCACACTTGAAGGCAGACCTTCTGAGCCAGTGGCTTAGCCCTGACTTCCGCAGCGGTGAAATGGGGACGAGAATCCCTTCCTCCAGGGATACATGTAGTCGACTTTAGGCTCACCTGGCCCTCTTACATGCTGGTTTGGATTGTCATGCACATGTTCTCGATGCTTCAATCTGAGTATTTTCTTTCAAGCTGGCTCCCTCCCAGTCCTCTCTCTCTCTCCAGCTTTGTTCTGCTGTTCAGTTCGTCCACTGTGTTCTCTGTGCATTTCCACGTCTACACTTCTGTTGGATTGCCGCCCTGGTTTCTACTTACCTGCTGATAGTCTTCATCTTGTCAGCCTCTTGAACCTGTGAATCATAATTATTTTCAAATGTGTGTCTCAATGCTCTATCTGATACCTTACGGGTATGTTTTTATTGCCTTTTATTCTGTCTTTGATCAGTTCATCTCTGCCACAGTCTGCTTGTTTTTATTGAACGGTGGACACCGTGTATGAAATCTTGAAGAGATGATTCAGTCCTTTGAGTGGTGTGGTCAGAGAGGGATTATCTTCCTTCTAGGAGAAAACATGTTAAGTTTTATTGGCACTCTATCCACACGCCATACAAGTCAATAATTGAATCACGTCAAGAAGAGTTGTACAATCGTTACCACAATCAGTTCCAGAACATTTTCTCCTTCCTTGACTAAGAGACCATTCAGGTAGCTGATTCAAAGCTAGGCTTTAGCAAGAAATGTCCCACTCTTTATGATTTGTTTAAATAAATCATTTGACTGGGGGCTCTTACAGCTCTTATAACAACCCATACATCCATTGTATCAAGCACATTTGTACATACCATCGGGCTTGGGAGAAGGTGGGGGAAGAAAGAGGGAACTGATTGCAGTGATTGACGTCTAACTCCCTCTCCCCAGGGTGACGAATAACAGAAACATGACTGCCTCGGGGTAGCTTCCTGTGACTTCTCCTCAGAAATGTCTGAGAGAGAGAGAGAGAGAGAGTCTCCTGCCTCCAAGGAGGAAAACAGGAGTTCCCAGGATCCTCAGGAGAAGGCCAGGCCCACACAGAGGCCTCATTGGCTGTGATCTGATTGACAGGCTAGCCTCCACCCCTCCACTCTGAATCCTCCAATTGGAACCAGATTGTGTAGCAACCACACACTTTAGTCCTCAAAATCACGTCCTTGCTTGTGAACCCTTTGAAGTGATCTCCTGCAGTAGGTTGACCCAGGGCAGTGAGTCCTTGGATCTCTTGACTGCCGCTCCCACCTGTGGATCCAAGCTCGATGGTGAAATCCTGGCCAGCTTCCGTCTCGTCTCCATTCATCGTGATGTGACCTACTGGTCCAGTGTGAGGGTTGGGTCTTCCTTACGTGGAGTCATAATGCGGCCAGAAGGCTGCCGTCCTTGATCTTCCAAAGCAGTGGCTCTAAGTCCTCTTCACGTTCAGCCAGCAAGGTGGTGCCATCTGCCTCCTGAAGGTTGTTAGTAAGCCTTCCTCCAGTCCTGATGCTGCATCTGTCTGCCTAGCATCCAGTTTCCAGCACCTATTTTGAGGGAGACATGAAGAGAGATAGAAAGAGGAAGGACGTTTGCAAGCCACGTCTTCCTTGGAAAGGACACCTGTGCGTAGAGCCCATAGTATCTTAGTTATCCGTGTTGCTGTCATGGACATGCCACAGGGGAGGGGCTTTCACAAACAGAAATTTATTCTCTCACGCTTTATGAGGCTAGGCATCTGAACCTGAGACAGCAGCTATAAGTTAAGGCTTTCTCTGTGTGCCAGCTCTGAGGGGTAGCTTGTGTCTCCTTCCCTGGGAGAGCTCCATGTTATCTTGGCATAAATGATCCCTGGGTCTAGGTGATTCTCGGCGCAGGGATCCCAGGTTCCAAGGACGCACTGCACTCCTGGCTCTTCTCTCTTGGGGGGGCTGAGGTTCCTCTAATCTCTGCTTTCTGGTTTAATCTGTCCTGTATCTCAAAAAATGGACGGACTCTCTGCAAAAGGAGCACACCAGCGCATGTGACTCAAGGATTGTCGATAATAAAACCCAAGGTCAGAGGCAGGGATTGTAGTGGAGCTTAAATTCCAAGCCCTTGGTTTTCAGAAGGCCGTGGATGACGGTGAGAGCCCTCACATGGATGGTCTCCATTGAGCCACTGCAGTCCATGGACCAGGGATGGGGCTAGTTGGTCCTCACACGGTGTGCATTGGCTACGTCAGGTACCGCAGACATGTCGGGTTAAAATGTACTCTCTTACCATTGGTTTTCCCATTTTAACTACCTCTAGTTTGGGTTATTTTCTGCCTTTCTTTGAATTGCAGGCTTTCTGTATTTTATTTTGTTGTTGTTGTGTGATTTTTCTCAATATGAAATCCAGGATAGTGAATCTCTAGAGATAGGAAAATAATAGCTTCTATAATAAGATACACACATGAAGAAGATCTTCTGACATCGATTGTGACAATGATTGTACAGCTCTTTTTAATATAGTCAAGCTGTTGAATCGCATGGGACGTGAGTTATATGTCAGTAAAAGACAGACGCATGGCCGTCCAGTCAATTCTGACTCATCGCAACCCTGTAGGTCAATAAAACTGTTAAAAGGGAAAAAGTGGGGGTGCAGCCTAATCCCGTAGCTTGTATCCATCTGCCTCGTTAACATAATTCCCACTCATCCTGCCTCACCGGCACCCCAGAGGCGAGGACTTAGAACACACCACATAATGACGCGCCCCATCGGGTAGAGGATAGTGACATGGGATCACAAGGTGGCGGATAGCGGCCCAGAGCTGAGAGTCATGACCTAGCCAAGTGGACACGTATGTAGTTGACGGGAGGAGACTACCGTGCGATGTGTCATGCAGTGAATAATCCGAGAGAGCTGACGTGCCTCCCCCGCCCACTCTCCCCAAAGGTCCACGCGGGGCGTTCTCCAGGGCCACGGCCTCCTCCTGCAGTCGGCACTCCGGAGGCTGGCCCTGCGCAGCTGCGCCATCGCCACGCTGGCCCGGATGCGGCTGTCTGGGAAGAAGAGCCTCTTCCTGGAGCTTCGGGAGCAGCACGCGCTGGAGCAGGGCTCCTCCCACTGCCTGGACGAGCACCAGTGGCAGCTGCTCAAAGCTCTGGTGAGCTCGCACCGCCGCCCCCACTGACCCCAACCACGGTGGCCGACACCCAAAGCCCCGTCGCTGCTGTTGGCGCACGCACGGTGGGGCGCCCCACCGGGACCCCTCGCCGTGCCAACCGGCTCTGCGGGTGAGCGAGACCGTGAGAATCACACTAGACATTGCTCGGGCTGTAAGTGCAGGAGGAAACACTGCCTGGTCCTGGGCCATCCTCGCCGTTGCTCCTAGGGCGAGCCCATTGTGGCAGCCACTCTGTCCACCCATCTTGCTGAGAGTCCTCCTCTTTTTCCCCATCCACTTGACCAAGCATGGTGTCCCTCTCCAGGGACTGGTCTCTCCTGACAACATGGCCGAAGTGTTTAATTCAAAATCTTCCCATCCTTGCCTCTAAGGAGTCTTGTGGCTGCCCTTCTTCTTCTGAGACAGATCGGTGTGCCCTTGAATCGGTTCATGGTACTTTCAATATTCTCCACCAGCACCGCAATTCAAAGGCAGTGATTCTTCTCCGGTCTTCGTTGTTCAGGGATTTGCAGTCTCAGAAACCCCATGGGGGAATTCCACTCTTCCTAAAGGGCCCCCTGAGTTGGGGAGTTGACAGCAGTGGGGTGGGGTGGGAGATGAAGGCACCAACCCTGCATCTCTGCCCTCACCCCACCTCAGACCCCTCACCCTCCACAGAAAGGCAGCTCTGCCCTAGTTTCCTGATGTCCCTAGACTCCGCGGAGACCCAGGTGTTACCTTTGAACCCCGGCCGTGCTGTGTGGCTTTGGGGGAGTGTGTTAAGTCGGGCATAAAGGAAGCATAAACCAGGGACACCGATCTGTCGGTAGAGAGACTGATACTAAAAAAATGACTCAAGAGGGTTGCAGGCGGAAGCCAGTCCAAGTCTATCCTGATTCCGTGGGTCCATGGTCCGCTGGAAGCTTCTTCGGACTCAAGTAGCTTCAGGGGCCGGTGAACCCATGGTCAGCAGGGCCAGGACAGGCCACTGGCTGCAGAGGTGAGTGAATCCAGCCTCGGCAGGCGGAGCAGCAGGTCGCTGGTGGGTAGGTGACCTACATCGCCGAAGAAACTTCCTGTCCGTGGCAACAGGGCTGAGGCCCGAGCATGGGGGTTGCACGGCACCCTAGTCTTCCTACAACGGCGTGGCTGCGCACTGCAGATCCCATCATGGATTCGATTACATTACATTAGGTCACGCGGTGAGGGACTCCTGGGGCCGAACTGCCGAACCACTGAGCATCCTGGACCAGCCAAGTGGACGTAAAATGTACTGAGTATCACGGGGAGATTTCTTCCCTGAATCTACCCACCTTGTACACACAGGACGTGGCACCAGGCACACAGTGGGTGCTTGTCAACTGGGCTGGGCCAAGATTCTCCAGTGATCGGATGTCACCTGGTTGTGGCCCGCTCCGTGAAGGGGTCCTCTGTGCAGCAGGCAAGCAGCTGAGGGGAAGAACGGGGTGGGGCACTACCTCCTGAATCCTCAATAGGTGAGGGAGCTCTCATTCGGGGTGTGGCCCGCTCTTCGGACAGACTGACAATGTGTGACAGCCAGCTCATGTCTACGGCCGGGTCTGGACCCTGCCTCTGGTTCGCCACTCTCCTGCCAGTCATACTGCCTGCTGATGCCGCCAACCATCCGTAGAACCACCGGCTTTGGATTCATTCAGCTCTGCAGCCGCCAGCCGGTGCTTCCTGCATCCACACAGTCCCTAGAAGCCTCCAGTTTGCATCCGACCCGTAGGGTAGACTTGAAGCAGACGGGACTTCCCACTACTACAATGTGGGCCCTTTGTTGACGTGAACCGCTTTCCGTGTGCATGCACAGACGAGTGCCCCTGGCTTTGCTCCTCTCCAGCACCCAGCCTCACACAGCACCCAGTAGGGGCTCAGTGGGGAGCCTTCAACCACAGCCCAGCCACCATGGGTCTTAGCAAGCCCAGGGCGCACCATCTTTCTCCCCACACCTCTCCCACCTTCCTGGGCCCAGGGCAAGACCAGCCCCTCCCTGTCTGAGCTTGCTGGTGCCCCGTTGCTCTCTAGGAGGCCCGGGTCCAGGAGGAAGCCGGCCGGCTGGAGTATGAGGCCCAGCAGATGCGGCTGCAGCTGCACCAGCAGCTCCTGGCTGAGGCCCGGGAATCCGGGCGGCTGCTGCAACAACACACAGAGCGAGCCCTCGGGCGGGTGCTGCTGGGACACGCTCGGAACTCGGCCACCAGGAGCCGAGCCCTAGAGAGAGAAGACTTCAAGGTACGAGCCAGCAATCCCCACCCCTTCTGCCTCCCCGGAAGCTGACACGCACAAAGGACTGGGCTGGGCAGGGCTGGCAACAGCGCCCCTCGGGTCAACACGCAGGCTCAGGGTTCTGTTGCACCCTTCCCTGGGAGCCTGGGGCCCTTGCAGAGATGACTCCCCTTTTCTGAGCCTCCGTTTCCCCACGTATAAGAGGAGGGGCCGTCACTTAGATGGCAGACAGCGTCCTGTGTAGGCGGGCGCACGCTGGGATGCTGGAAGCTCTCTGTGCCCCGGAACATTGCACTGACCCTTGAACCACACTCAGGTTGGGTGATGGCCCCACCACCCACCCAAGCGTTTTGACTCTGCAGACCCGCTTGAGCTGCGAGTAGCCTGCTGCTCACAGAAAGCCGTGCCGATCGCATTGACGGTGGTCGCCGTCGGGGGCCTTTCTGTGTGTCTTTCTTGCTGGCCCTCGGCTTTTCCAGGGGTGATATTGGCTCTTGCTCGTTCGTCATCTGCCTGATCAGAAGTCCGATTCGTGGGGACCGTCCCTCGCTCTCCAGGATGTCAGCAACGGACCTGAGAGTCGGGAGGACATGATGCCGAGATGCGCCCAAGTGCATCCTCACGGCCCTTCTTGGGAGTGAGCCCATTGCCACGGCCACTGGGTCCATCCATCTCACCGACACCTGCCTCCGTGTCCCTGACCTTCTGCTTGACCAAGCCTGCTGCCCTTCTGCAGGGACTTGCCTCCTCTTAATGTGTCCAAAGTGAGGGACACTCGATGGACAGAGTCGAGGAAGCAGCTGGGTCCTATGAAGAATGCACTACGGGAGATAGGAGGAAAGCCTATTCCCGACCTGACGCTACGCAGATGACGCCACCTTGCTTGCTGCCAGCGAGGAGGACTTGAAGCGCTTTGATGAAGACGAAGGATAGCGGCCTGCGGCCTAGATCGTACACGTCAGAGAAGACCAACACCCTCACAGCTGGGCCAGTGGGTCATCGCGCGATCCGTGGAGAGAAGGTCGAAGTCGTCAGGGGTTTCTCCAGGTTGCATTCGCCGTCAGTGCTCATGGAAGCAGCAGTCGCGTGGTATTTTCAGTCGCCTCCTCTGCACTCGAAAGTTGGCCACTGACAGGCAGGACGGAGGAAGAATCGGTGCATCGGAGCGACCGTGCTGGCGAGGAAACTTGAAAGTAACACGGGCAGCCAAACACCGGCGGACCAATCTGGATGGGAAGAAGTTGGACCAGGTTGCTCCTTGGGAAGCAAGGATGTGCGGCTTGGTTCCCACGTACTGTGGACACGTGGTCGGGAGAGACTGGTCCCTGGAGGAGGCCGCCGTGCTTGGTTTGCAGAGAAGAGGGGGACTCCACTGGAGGGATATGGGTTGCACCCATGGATCCAACGTCGCCAGGATGGTGAAGATGGTGCCGGACCGGGCCAGTGCCTCATGCCGTCGTACACCAGGTCGCCGTGACGGAGATCCAGCTCCAACCGTGGACCCACAAGCCCACTCCCCGGCCTTTCCCGGGGACCCCTCGTGGCCGCGGACTGTGTGCACCCGCAGAGAGACTGCTTCAAAAGACAGTGATGCTCCAAACAGAACCGAGGGCGATCCGCTCCTTTTCCTGGCGCCAAAGAAAACCCCAAAGGGGTCGTGAAAGGGCTGACAATGATCTGGAGGCAGCAGGCTGAAACTTTGGAGGAAAGCCGCCACGTCGAATCCAGATGGTGGTTGTGCGGTGCGTCCGTCGGTGCTGACCCGCAGCGACGCGAAGTGCGGCAGGAGGAACACCACGCGGGGCTGCGCCGAGCTCACCATCGTCCCCACGCCTGGGCCCGGGGTTACCGCCACGGGGTCCCTCCATCTCCCTGAGGGGCTTCCTCTCCCTCGCCGCCCCTCCGCTTCACCAAGCACGGTGCCCTTCTCCAGGGACTGCTCTCCTGGCGACGCGCCCACAGTCCGTGAGGCGAAGTCCCTCCTTCCCGGCCTCGAAGAAGCGCTCTGGCGGTACTTGTCCCAACACAGATTTGTTGGCCTTCCAAAATCAAACTTGCTGTTGACGCCTGGCCACCCCCTGGGGGTCTCCTAGACGTAACTGTTGGCGGGAGGCAAAAGCCCAGTCTTTTTCCCGAGGAGCTGCTGGTGGTTTCGAACTGCTGGCCATGGGAATTGGAGCTCAGCGGGTAACCACGCCACTTTGTTTGGATGAGAACTGTTTTATTTGACCAGGACCATGTCCGCCAGCCACAGCTCCCAGCCTGCCCCCCATCCCCCCGGCCCCAGGAGGGTGGTAAGCAGAGAGGACCAGCCTGTCACCGGCAGCTCCTCGCTGAGCCCACGTCCTTTCTGGCCTCTGGTAGGCGGCGTTACTAGAGGCAGCGGTGGAGAGTGTTTATGTGACAGCTGCAGGCGCAAGCCGGCTGGTGCAGACGTACTACCAGCAGGTGGAGCAGGTGGTGCAGGACCACGAGGAGAAGAAGCTGCGGCAGCTGAGGGCCGTGCAAGGTAGGGTGCCCAGGGGAGAGGTCTGTCTGGGCAGGGTGGGGTTCCAGGCATTTCTCATTTCATTTGGGGAAATTTATTATTTGGTTTGGAGGGGCGGGGTATGTGTTTTACGGTCTGCTATATTTCTGTGTGTGTCTCTTGCCCCACAGGGGGCTTGGAGTCATTCAGAGGAGGGTTTTACACGGGTGGGCACAGCTCTTTCTCGCAGCTCCCAGGGGCTGCAGTTACAGACACCACAGGGGGTGCTCTAACCCACCGGAATGGACTGTCTCCGCCCTGAGACCAGAGGCTGCATCCAGGGTGCTGGCTTTAGGGGAAGGGTCTTTTCTTGCCCAACTCTGGGGGCAGGGCCCGGTCCCTTGGGGTTTTTTGTAGGCCAGCATTTGTGGGTGACCGACACGGGGCGTCTGGCTTCTTCACTGTGCGCCTCCTGCTCACTGGGGCTGCACGGCTCTTTCTCAGAAGTGAGCCCCCACCCTATGCTGGTTATCGAGACAAAGGAAACTGCCCCAAATGAGGTCCCTTGCAAAAGGGGGTACATTACCCGCTGCCGTGCAGCTGATGCCCACTCGGCAACCATATGGGACCATGGGGACCATGGGTTCCGTGGTGTCCCCAGGGCTGCAAGACCTTCTCGCATGGGGCAGCTGGTGAGTTAGCTGCCAATCCTTCACCCACGGTGTCACCAGGGCCCTCCTACCCACAGGTATGAGGGTCAGGATGCCAAAATCTATGGGGAGGAGGAGGGGCCGGTCAGCTCATAACACATGGGCTTTCATCAAAGGCCCTCAAGAGCAGGAACGGGCAGTATGTCTTTTTTTTAATAGTTTTATTGGTACGAAATTCACATATCATACATTTCCCTAGTTAAGTTACTTTTAAAAAGAGTTGTAGACACCTCCTCGGTTCTAGCGCTGCCTCTCCGCTCCCACACTCATTATTTACTCCCCAATTCCTCTCAGCCTCCCCACTCCCATCCCCGTCAACCATGGCATCAGTTATTGTCCCCAGGCATCCACTCCTTGGGGCTTCTCCCACTGGGAAACCAGCAGAAACAATGAAAAGCCAAGACAATGTGAAACAGAGAGGACAACTATAAAACTCAGATAAAGATAAAATTAAGAGCAAGATTTGAAGAGACGGGTCCTTGATAACCTCTTTTTTAAAAGTCATCTCAAATGTCACCGGAATATAGCAAATTGTATCTACATGCCATTTTAAGGGCTTGGGGACGTGCATTAAGAATTGTTTACAAATGGTCCATCTCTGTGCTGGTCTCAAAGCAAGCAATAAACTGCCAGTTCAAAGGGGAGATAAATAAAGAAGAGTGCTGTAAGACCCCCCAGTAAAAGAATGGGGGTGGGGGGACAGTGAGACAGAAGAGAGCACCCGCCATATTTGAAAAAGCCGAAGAAGAAATGTCTGTCGTGGAACAAGCGAGAACTACTAACAGCTAGAGCAAATTCAGGTTGGGTCAAGAGGGAAGTCGCCTGGCCGAGGGGTCACAGGATACCACAGTTCGATGCCCCCCACTCCAGTCGGCAGTAATCTCCCTCTGACAGTACAGCTGTTGGCCTGAGTGGACAGGCTCCCCCATGCCACTGCGTTAGTCTGGAGTAGACTAGAGAAACAAAGGCATACACAGCCATATGCGTGTAAGGAAGAACTTTATATACAAGAGCAGTTGTACATTAAGAAAACAGCCCAGCCCCATCCAGATCACGTCCATAAGTCCGATATTAGCCCCTATGTCTGACACCCATTTAGAAAGTCCTCTTCTGACTCATGAAAGCCATGCAATGACGCCGAATGAAGGAAGATCGCAGGCCAGTGGGTGGGAAGTCTTGTGGATCCAGTGGCAGTGTAAGCATCTCAGCGCTGTCAGGGGTCTCCACGCGGCTGCATCAGGGTAGGTCCATGTGGCCTCTCCTCCGGGATGTCTCACAGGGAACCAGCCTTGTCAGGAGTGAGTCTCCAAGGGCGTGGAGAGAGTGAGACGGTGTCTCCCGCCTCCAAGGAGGAAATCCCAGAGTTTTCCCAGAATCCTCAGGGGGAGACCACGCCCACACAGAGGCCCCATTGGCTGTGACCTGATTAACAGACTGGCCTCCAGCCCTTCCCTCCATCCTCTCAAGCCCCAAATTGACACCAGATGATGTAAAGGCCACCGGCACCCGGGAATCAACCTATCTGGAGGCGGTCCGCGAGTCGAGGCTGCCCTTTTTCTTTCTTGTGTTTCTGCAGTTTCACTGGCACGGGGTGCCCATATCCTACAGTCCAGTAGTCCCCTCCATCAGGAAGGGCTGTGCAAATCACCACGATCCGTCTTAGAACGTTTTCTTCATTCTCGTTCTCATCGCTATTAGCTGCCCACGCCCCCATAACTCCCCCTGCCAGTCCCCCACACACAAAGGAGCCACGCATCCCGGCACGGTGTCTATAGACTTGCCTCTCCCAGGTTTCATATGCAGAGAAACATTTGTCAAAACGAACAAAAGCCAACAAGAAGAGAAATAAAGCAAAGCAGACAGATAGCTCCTCCATCGAGAGAGAGCGGAAAACATGGACGAGTCGGACACACTGAAATAGACCCAGAGGGAGAATGAATGATGGGGTGCTAAGCTAAGCCTAACTGTGTCTGTGACAATCAAACGCTGCCCTTGACCTCACGTGGGGTTGAGGTGTGTGTGCTGCCCCAGGGTTACACCATTGTGTTACCTTGTGACCCTAGTGCTACCCTGACAGGCCTGCCCATTGTTGGGCTGAAGACTGAAGCATTTTCAGACCCTAAGGATGACTGCAGGCTGTTGTCCTCAGGGTCCGCCCATCTCTGTCCAAGTAGGCCTGCTCCCTTTCTTGATGTGGACTTGCGTTCTGCGTCTCCTCCCAGTCCGTTGGCGGCCACCCCACATTCCACCCGTTCCCACGTCGGGAGCTTCAGAACAGGATGGAATGCCGTGCTGTCTGGTGGGTTTTTGACTGGCTCGTCTGAGGCCTGGAGTCGAATGTGCCAGAACAGACGGGCAGAAGGTCCTTGTGCTGGTCTTCCGGGGACAGTGGTCTTCTCAGCTGAGCTCAGCGGGCCCCTTCCTCTGGCCCACGACCTGGAGAGAGCCAAGGCCTAGGCTCACAGTCTCTCGCCACTCGTTCCCTTGGATCTTGTGCCAGAAATATGCCAGGGGAACTCAGCAGCTCCGTCAAGGATTCTCCGCAGGAAGCATGGGCTCCTGTGGCATGAGATGGGTGTGTCTTCCACCCCACTGTGGGACATTCTGAACCAGGGCGTGTCATGTCCCCTCCCCAGCCACCACCCACCCCCTCTGCCCCCTCCCCCGTGGGACTCAGGTCGGACTCCCCCAACGTTCTTTCGGCTCTGCCTGCCTCCTCCTCTGAAGCCCCAGCACCATGATTTCTCAGGAGCAGCTACGGATTGGAAGCCACACAATCCACCGGCCATACAGCTGCTCTCTTGATGCATCCGGGAACAAAGTTTCACTCAAGAGCCGCAGCCACCCCCAGCTGGAAGCCTCTTTGGGAGTGCTGGCTCGATGGGGTTCCGCGGTCAGGAGGCCTGCGGACGCCTCAGCGCATTGGTTAGTTATGTGTGAAGGCCCGTCAGTGCCTCCCAGGTCACAGCCCAGTGCTCACATGCTATCTCCCCTGGGATTAGTGATAGGGGAGACAGGTTAGTGGCGA